ATCTGAAATTTCTCTATCTAGTATGAGAATGTTAAAGAAAATCTGAATTTCTATAAGAGTTACCAGTGCCTTTTGGCTATTAATAAGGTGATCATAAAGACATAATATATAGTAGTACATTCCTTTTATCTTTTCTGATGATCCTTTACTATCAATAGTCATGAATAGAATTTTTTTGCAACTAGATAGAGCATTGTCAAGGATTGCAATTAATCCCTTATTATTTTTTGCAACTATATCATCTAAAGTTAGGATACTCAACAAGTATTTTTCATCAGAATAGCGAATTACTTAGCCTTTCAATTTATCTTTTTTAGCCTTTAGGTAAAAAAAAGTGAGCGTGTTGAAGAACTCTGAAGGCTCAGAATAGGTTATTTTTAGATAATTTTTGAAAGCTATATAATATTCTAAACTCAGGATATATTATTCTGGGAAAAAAGTTTAAATAAAAAATAAATATAAAAATATAAGATATACCTAATGAGAGCTGAATTTATTTACTAATATCTTTCTAACAAAGAAAATATATGCAGATGAGCTTGTAGCTGATAAGAAGGATGTAAAATTCATTAGAAAAGATGTTAGCAAAACCTTTGCAAATAATGTGAGAAACTAACTATCTTAACTTATGATATGTGTAATTTATATGTAGATAAGTATTATTCGAAAATATATTACCATAGGAAGAAGTTAAATGCCTTAGAAAAATCTGCTCTAGAAAGTTTTTGACTTCTAGAGATAGGAGAAAAATAGCAAATTTCTATTTTTAGAATGAAAGGAACATTTTTTAGACAATCTGCCTTAGGATACTCAAAAAAAATAGCCAAATATAAGTTTTGTAATTTGCATATAAATAAGTGCATTATCACTGGAAGAAGTTGGCTAAGATGTTTTAGAAGGGCAAACTTCAGAACATTAGAGCAGACTCTTAATAAAATAATACTATCATGGCACTATCAAGTCAATATCATGATGCTGGGCTGGATTCTCAAATCACATGTCTAAAGATTAGCTGAAATTATGGTATAGTATTAGCTTAAATTAATTGCAAATCTACTGCGCTATCTGACACAATTTTTTTTTACTACATTTTGAGATCTAGAAAGGTAACCAAATAGGCACAAAGAAAAAGCACTTCAATATAGAATCTAGTATCCAATCAGACGTAGGAGATCAGCATCTTGACATAAAATCAGATATCTAAACAATTATAGAAGGTCAACAATTCTATTATAGAATTTAGTATGTAAATGACTCAGAAATAAGAAGAAAAGTGTGGTATTTAGATTATATATGTGTGGCAATTAGATTATATTATGATAATAAAAAGTATATTAGGATAAAAAACACAAATATCAAGAAAGACTTAAAGACATAGTTAAAATATAAAAGAGATATAAGAAAATAATAAAAGTATTAGATTATATACAGTATTTAGATTATAGCATTTAGATTATATATGGTAATTAGATTACATTATTTAGATTATATATGATATTCAGATCATATATGATATATAGATTATATGTGGTATTCAGATCATATGTAATATATAGATTATATGTAATATTTAAAATATATGTGATACTATAATTTAGAGTAAGTGGGATATCACATGCATTATAATTTATATCGCATGTCATATTCCACTGATTATATTCAAATATCATATATACTATATACAAAAAATTTATAGTGTAAAATTTTCATTTATATTTAGAAAAAAATTTTTTAACAGTTGTATTATATAAATTTGTATACATTTTTAGAAGAATGATATATGCTAAAATTTTTCAATTATGTGTATATATACATGATTGCACTACTAAAAATTATATACTGTATTTAAAATATAATTATTATTGAATCATTAAATATATTAAAATGTTTTTATCATTAATTATCATTAGTATTACTAATTTTATATAAATATTTATAATAAAATTAGAAATATATTTAATATGCTTTTTGAAATTTTAATTATTTTATTTTTTTCTAAATAAATATTATTAGTATTGTAATTAAAATATAGTAATATTATTGATTTATATAATATAATATAAATTTTTACATAATTAACATATTTAGCATAATTGATTTATTTGATATATTTAAAATATTTAATATAGTTAAAATAGTTAAAATAGTTAAAAAAAATTGAAATAATTAACATATTATTCTATATAATATAAAAATATATATATATAACTTAATTATTTTAAATTCTCTGAATAGATTTATTTAATAAATTTCTCTTAGTAATTTTTTTTTTGTATACTTAGACTATAAGATAATACTTAGTTAATTATGCTTTACTTTTAATTAAATAATTCTTTATTTTTTTATTTTCTTTATTATTCACTTTCTTTAATTTTTTTTATATTTATCAATAAACTATTATTACTATTGTTAAAACTATCAAATTTATGTAATTTACCTTAATAATAAATAATTGTATATAAACTTTTAATATAAATTTTATTTAGTATAAATCATATATAAAGTTGTTAAATAAAATCTAAAAGTTTTACAAGTCATTTAAATAATAAGGATAATGATATTTATTATGTAATATTTTAGAGAATATAAGAGTAATTGAAAGATCTTAGTATATATAATATAATGTAAAATTATTATAAGATAGGAGGTGAAGAATATAAACTTATAATAAATAAATATTACATAATAAATATTACTACCTTAAAAGGTAAAATTTAGTAAAATTATATTAAAATCTTATTAAAAAATCTGCAAAATTCAAAAAAAATAAAACTATATCAAAGCTTATAAAAATATAAAATTATATTAAAATCTTAGTAAAAAAATTAGTGAAATTAAATTTAAACATTTTATCAAATTTTAAATAAGCAATCTTAATCATATATTTTATTTTATAAATCTAAAAAAATAACTTTCATCACTTTATTTAATTATCATAATTTATCAAAAATTGTATATTAATATTTAACAATAATAATAGAACTCTCTTTTTAATTATGTAATAGTATAATTAATGGATTTCTATAAATATCTTTAAAGTAATATGCAACTATCAATAAATATATTAAGTTTTACATATTAAAAAAAATAAAATTATTATATTTATTAAAGGATTTATTATATATAATTTATTTTCTATTACTAGCATTTTATTTAATAATTTCTTTATTTATTATATTTTTAATTAGACTTATCTTATATTAAAAATACTATAATATATTAGTAAAAGTATATTTAAATTTATTTAGTCAGAAACTTATATTTCATTAATATTCAAGAACTTTATTATAAATATATTCTTACTTTATTTATCTACAATAAATTACTACTAGTTATATTAAAATAAACTATTAATTTGTGTGTAAAAATAAATAATAATACTTGTTTTTTTTAAGTTAAATTAGACAATAAAGTTTTAATAACTTACATTAACTATTTATCTTAATAAATTAAGATTGATAATTTACATAATTCTCAAATGACAAATTCTAAAATAAGACAAATAAGAAAAATCTACAAAAACTAATTTAAAGGATTATGTCATTTTTTACTTATAGTAATCTTTAATATAATAAATATAGAAGCTGTAATAATAGTGAAAAGTCTAAATCTAATTATTCTTATAAGGACTGAATTTAGTTAAGAAAAAAGTCTTCTTTATACAAAATGATGAATCTTGAATCAAATCTGAAATTGAAAATGAAAGTTATAAACTTTTTTTATATAAAAGTAAAGATAATAAAAAAGTAAAAAGTTAAAAAGTCATAAATATTACTATTTCTCTTTATATTATAATAGTTTTTTTTTTTAAACTCTAAATTCAACAACTTTAACTTATCTGAAAGTGAATCTGATATTAATTTTATAATTAAAATATTAATAATATTTAGATTATTACTAATTATAAAGTATTTCAATTATTTAAAAGATTATAAGAAGTATTTTAATTTGTAAGATTATGTGAAGCAAAATTTGTTGATCTATCTACTTTAAAGAAAAGATTAAGACTCTTAAGATTAATTGAATCAATACAATAAATAATACATATAAAATAAATAGAATTTCTAATTGATGATATTTAACTTTTATTTTATCTTTTTTTAAAGAATCTATTCTCACTTAATTTAATAAAATTAAAAATGAAAAAGACATTTGTTACTAAAATAACCAGAATAATTGATAGCATAATATAAATTTACTATTTTATTAAATATTATTATATAACTCAATGATATTTTATACCTCAATATTGTAAATAATATTTTAAATAATCAGTTGAAAAATATTGTTAAACAAAATTAATTTTAATCTAATGATTATATTTTAATGAAGATTTATATTATTAGAGCTTCTTAATAAATATAAATATAATTTTTTAAAATTAATAGTTGATAAAATATTTTAAGTATATGATATTTTATAATAATTAAATGTATTTATTGTATCTATTAATATTTATAATATTATTGATTTTATTATTAAGATATAGAATTAGGTTTATTCTATTACAATTAAAATTGATAGTTAAAAGCTAATATTTTTTTTATCAGATAATAGGTTAAATATAAACAAAAGCTTAATTTTGATAGAAGTGATAAAAAAGATTTAAATAATGCTATGCAGAAGATATTATATGATAATACTTTACCTATATTAAAATATATTAATACTGATAAATTAAAATAAAGATAAAATTTTATTAAATGATAATAAAATTGTTAAAACTGTATGATTAAGATATAATGCAAAAGAAATATAAGATGATAAAAATGAATTTGTTTCTAATATTTCTTTAAGTAATATATTGAATAATATTAAAAAGTTAATTACTTTTTGAAATTTTCTATTAAGAAATTATAAGATTATTAATAATGAATTAAAGGTTTAAAGAAAATTAAAAGAAAAGTTTTAAAATTTAAATTTGTATTTGTATTTCAATTAAAATTAGATGAATTTATAAATTTTGAATAGGAATTTTATTAATAATCTTGTAAATAAGAATGTTAAAATATTTTATAAAACTAGGTCTTAAATAGTCATAAAGTTCAGTCTAGTTCAAAGTTATTTAAACTATAGGACTATAGTTCTAGGACTGTGATCCTATAAAAATTAGAACTTGTGATCCTAGAACTGCAATTCTATAGAAATTAGGACTTGCAGTCCTAAGATTGCAGTCCTATAGAAAAATAATCATTCAAATTAAACGATTCATTATCATTCTTCTTAAATGTTTTTTTATTGATCAAGTCAAACAATTCATCATCAATCTTCTTGAATGATTTTTTTATCATTCAAATTGAATAATTCATCATTGTTCTTCTTAAACAATTTTTTTATTGTTCAAGTTGAATGATTCATCATCATTTTTCTTGGATAATTATTTCTTTTATCGTTTAAGTCAAATGATTTGTTATCATTCTTCTTAAACAATTTTTTTATCATTCAAGTTAAATGATTATTGCTTTTTCATGTAATTTTTATTTAATAGAATCAATTAAATATTTATATAAAGAATTAAACAAGAAGTGAGTTGAAATTAGAAAAATCAACAGTTCTTTTAGACCAGATATTTTCTATCTACTATATCATTTCATTTTCATTAACCCACCTTTTTACATTTACTCTTATAAATATATCACTAAGACAATATTTCTCTAGATATATTTTTTAATTTAAAAATAACAACTGATGTTAATTTTGATTTATCAGTTATGTAATTTAAAATAACTGTAAATGTGCTTTTTTTATGTCTAGTAGTTTTAATACTAATAGTATTAGAATTATATTTCTCTAAAATATATAAATTAAATAAATCAAAGGTTACAAGTTTTTATTTATATTTCTAATAAGTTGAAATAGGTAATCATATTATATTCTTCTATAAAGGATAAAACTCAAAAAACTGTTTTTCAAATAAGTCTTCTGCACTCCCCTTAGGACCATAATAAAAAAATAGCAGAATGTGCAATTAGAAAGGGTGTGCATTTATAGAGAATAAAATATTAAGAGCTCTTATGAGTTGGGACAAATGCATTTAGAGAGAATTTACATAGAGTGTGCATTTATAGAGGGTGCACTTATGGAGGTTTCACTGTATATAAGATCCATACAAACTTATTTCTTTTGTAAAATAACACGATTCTTGCAAGTTACATGACAATGAGCAGTTCCGAAAACATTCTGTCCGTCCTGGTAAATCTTCGAATAGCAATTTAGCATGATATAAAAATATTTTCTAATCCTTTTTTTTCTTAGTCGTTGTCTCTTATCTAAAAAGGTATTCGAAGCAGTCATCGAGGTTTTTTAGATTTTTGTCGTGATAAAGTCATTATCTCATCACCATTTTCGAATGACTGGCTCTACCTTGATGATTTTTGGGTCGATCAGATTTTAAAAGAAGCGGGAAAGTTGCCATTAGATCAAAAGTCTTTTAACTCTTTGAAAGAAAAAGTGCGTATTTTTTATTTTGCAAAGGAAGGTAACTCCTAGTTGGGTCCTTCCTGACTTAGGAGAATTACTGGGTTAACACACTTGGTATCCGCCCCAAGCTCTCAATTCAGGCACTGAACTTTGTTGCTGGTAAAAGTCTGCTATGCTGGAGGAGGAAAAAAAAAAAAAAAAAAATTAACTGGCTATGTACCTTCTTTTACCACTAAATAAAAAAGTTATTTCTCACTACTTATAATCTCTTACAACAGGTAAACAAAGAACGGTTACGCTATGCAAAAGAATTGGAGAGTTTCTGGAGAGGTGTAATCGCAGAACAAAATAAGGTTAATGAGTAAATTATAAAACTTGCGTGGTGATTGTATAAATTGCTATTTGCTAAGCTTTACCTATCACTATAGAAGGATTCCGTGAAACGAAAACTCGAAGAAAAGGAAAATCTTGAGCCACGGCCAAAAAAGTGCTGATCTACCATAACTCTTTTTTGCATAGTCCAAGGAAATGCGCACAATGCCTTTGCTATCAAAATTAGTAGGGATGAAACTATTAGTGAGCTCAAGAGATTGATCCAAACAGCAAAGCATAATGATTTTGCTGGCATTGATCCTGACCGACTCAAACTCTGGCAGGTCGAAATTCCTGATTATTGTTATTATGAATTAGTTAATCTTCAACTCCATGACAACAATGAGCTTCTTGCAACAAAGAAAATAAGCAAGTATTTTACCAAACCTCCTGATGAACATATTCATATCATCGTATCTTCGCCAGAAGCTACCAAAACCAGACAAGAGTTGGAGTCGATAAATAAGATAGCGGAACTACAGAGTCTCAAGAAGTCCACATATGGTATGTTGGCTGTGTTGAGGAGTTTGTAATCAAAATTATACTAATATAGTTGTTGTGATTGTAGAATTCGATGTCATAGTTAATCCGAAACGCATAAAGTCATTCAAGTGGATTGCAAATATAGATCAAGTGAACCTTGGAGATCTTAGGGAATCTATAATTGCTATGTATCAACCCCCAGAACTTGTGAAAGATGGTGTAACGCTTACCTTTGTAAACAATGGTGAAAAATACTTCCCTCGAAGCAGTGTTGTCATGGGACATGGACATGGACATTGGACGTCCAGGACGGGACAGTCCATGTCCATGTCCGGAAAATTTTATGTCCCGGACATTTTGTCCGCATTCATAATCACATGATACCGATCAAAATTTATTCTTTTAGAATGTAATAACCAGAAACTTTATAAAATTAATTATTTTATATACTTTTATAAAACTAAATAAAAAGCTTAATCATATTTAAATCATAAAGTTTTTTTTTATTTTGCAAATTTAATCCATTCCGCATCTCTATTAATATGGCAAATTTATATTACCTTTGAAAAGATTTTCCAATTCCCATTTAGCATTAACATCAATAGCAGGATGAGTAATATTCTCTAATGAATTATTATCATTCTCATCAAAATCATTATATTCAGCATTTTCCTCCTCTTCCAGCATCTCTACCCAATCCTAAAGATATTCAGCAAATTCATTTTCTAATTGAAACTCATCAGCTTCTTTATCTAATTCTTCAAAACCAGAATCCACTTCTGTTAATACTAAATTATCAGCTGGGTCAATAATATGTTCTAAATTATTTGGATTATCAGAATTTTGATTAGTATCATTAATATCAATAGTAGATTCAGTAAATAATGAATCATTATGAAGGCAATGGTTGTATGTAATATCAGCCCTTAATTTGCTCATTGCAAGAGCTTTTGTTGACTATACAATAAAAAAAAAATTTAGAATACTTTACACAAATATAATAAACTAAATTATACATACCATTAATCGATTACGACGCTTTATTTGTAAAAATCCCATGAAACTCCAAAGCCTTTCAACCGAAACAGCATTCATACATATACTAAATATCCTACAAGCCACAAAGCCCAATTCATTTGTAGAAACACTAACATAACACTAATAATGTCAAATATCATTGTTAAATTGTCTGTATGAGTTAAGATCAAAGGGATACTTGGCCAATCGAAAGTCATCAAATTCGCAAAGAATACATTTTGGTTCCTTTCTAGACCATGCACAATAATAATACATAAGCTACTTTTCAAATTCTGGATAATTGATATTAGAAACTAAATTGTTAAATAAAATAATAAAAGAAGGGGTTGTTCTCACTCTCTCTAATGCTTTTCCAATCGGTCAATTATTCGTGAAGCTAATGCAGTATCTGAATAATTTAACCAAAATTAAACTAAATAATCCATACTATGTATTATTTGAAACAGCTGTGCTTTATCACATTGTAATATATTAAGCAATTTGCAATATGGATCAAATATTTGACTAATAATCGTAATTTGATTTCAAAATATAATAAAGTTAATAATTTCAAAGATTTCACGTGATAAAATTAGAGTTTCTCCCATTTTGTGACGAGTTGCAACTAATGGTGGTTCATATTTAATAGCTAGTATCTAATAAAAAGCAAAAATTAAAAATTAAGTTTAAATTTTTAATGCTAATAAAATAATATTAAATAAACTTACTTGTAATGCTTTTTGAGTTTTTAAAAAACTAACACACATGCTATAAAGAATATTTTACTGTATTACTCCAGAAACTGCTATTGCAATATATTTATTATAAGTTTCCTGTTGTTGAGTTCGCAAACATACAATAAAAACTTATGATTCGCATTTTTAAAGTAAGTGGAAAGCTTAATAGCATGATTAAGTTGGTGAGCAAAACATGGTAAAAATGCAATTGTTCTATTGGATATTCTTAATCAACACCTAGCATAAAAATATATATAAGTTTTTAAGTTAATAAATAAATTAAAAGCAATAATAAATTAATTTATCATACCAGACTGCTGCATATGCTGATGTATCAATTCAATATTTGTCATACCTTATACTGAAGATAATATTTGTATAGTTTTACGTGATATTGTTGCTAATTAGAATTTAACTAGTAAAGTTCTTACAATAATAACTGATAATAGATCAAATATAGTTTAGGCTAGAAGATTGATGGATGAACTTACACAGCTTCCTTGTACAGCACATACTTTACAATTAGTTGTAAAAAAAGGTTTATTTCTTGCTAAAGTTTTAGTTATAAGGGCCAAAAGATTAATGAATTTTTTTATAACTTCTAAACAAACTGAAAGATTATTGGATATTCAAAAAAGTATCATCCATTCAAATAATGAGGTTAGTAATTATTTAAAATTCAAAATTTTTCTCAAAATTTTTTAACTTACTTTTAATATATTCGCTTAATAATTTAAGATTTAAATGAGTTTAAAAGAATAAGTTGCATAGTTAGTTTTTTTTAATCCACCCTTACTGTTTTGCAATTTAATTTAATTTTTATCATATTTATTAATTAAATATTTCCTTAAATTATTATTATTAAAGCTTCGTATTAATTTATTAAATTTTTTTTATTATAGTTTAATTTTTATTTATAATTTCTATAATTTTAGTATTAGTTTATATTTATATTTTATATAATTTTTTTTATAAATTTTACAATTTAATTTTATATATTTTATTTATAAATATTTTAATTGTTTTTTTCTAAATAAAATATAATTAAAAAATCAAAGAATTTATTTAATAAATTAAATTAAAATTATTCTCAATATTATAGAATTTGAAAAAAAATGATGAATATCTTCGAATAATTGCTGATGTAGAAACATGTTAGAATTCAAGCTATCTTGCATAAAAACGTCTAATAAAAATTAAAGACCTTATTGATATTTTAGCATCTACTTTGATGGTTGATCCTAATATACGATAAGATGGCAAATGACTAAAGAATATAAATCTAACTGATTATAAATAGCGAGTAATAAATAATTTAGTAATTATCTTAGAAGATTTTGCTGGAATAACTGAATATCTAGGTGGAAGCAATTATATAACAATTAGTTTAATGTATAGTCTATTAACAATAATTAGCCAAAAAATAATACCTAAAGATGCTGAAATAGAAGTTATAGATTTAACTAGCCCAAATACTACCTTTGATAATGATGTTAGTTATGAAGATGCTCCAGAAGATGAACCTGTTACTTAATAACCTAAGCGTAAAAAAATTAGTATTAATAATTCACAAGATTGTTTTAATCTTGAAAATTGTATTAAAATAGCATTGTATCAATCTATTATTTACTATTGGGATATTTTATAAGAGCAAGAAATGTTAGCTGTTTTGTTAGATCCATGATTCAAAAATTTAGAATTTACATTTGAAGCATTGCGTATTAAGATTCATGAGCAATTAAAAATTGCTTATCAAAATATAAAAAACATAGCAAATGATAATCAAGAAGTTGAACCTAAACCTACCTTATCAAATTCAATATTGGCAAGAATGTTTCAAAATAATAATATTCATCATATTGATGAAATAACTAATTATTTATTTATGCCTAAGATCCATTTCAATGATTGCCTTTTATTATGATAGAAAACTTACAAAACTCAATTTCCAATATTATCAAAATTGACAAGAATGTATTTAACAATACCTATCATCTCTACTCCAAGCGAAAGACTTTTTAGTAAAGCTGATAATGTGATGATTATAAAACGAACATGATTAGCATCTAATACATTAGAAAATCTGATTTTTTGTAAAAAAAATTGGCAGGTATTTTCCATTAGATAATGTTTGCAAAATTAACGAAGAATGAACAAAAGAGAGAAAATTTGTTATATTAGTTACTATAATTACTAATAAACTCATTGAATACAGTAATGCATATATTTACTAACACATGATAATTATAGATGTCTGCTAAAACCTCCTCAAAATAATTTCGTCATATCCTTTTCTATGTTTTTAATATAGTTTCAACAGTTTCAGCTTTCGTCGTATCGAAAGGGTTTCGTCATATCTCTTATTATGATTTTAATATAGTTTCATCTAAGTTTTGACTGTTATTAAGGGGTTTCGTCTCTCATCATTAATGATAATGCTTTCATTTTTATTTGTTACAAAATTTCGATTTCAAAATATTATGAAAATATTATAGTTTGAAATATCTAACACGCTAGACTTTTCATGAACATTTTTTAGGGAAATTTTTACATTCCTTAATGCTAAGCTAGAAATAATTGTTCAAGTTAAAAATCCAGTAATTAGTGTTGATGAAATTGAAAAAATGGGCAAAAGTAAAGGTCATAGAGATCCTACTGCCGCTTTTTTAGAAATTTTTGACCTTTAATTAATTATAAATATTCAGATTTATTTGTATAGATATATCCAGATATTTTAGGATTCTTACGAATAATAGCCTATATCTGTAAAGAGATTACAGATTATCCATTTACGGATAAACAGATATCTGGATTGAATCACTATAGTGTAATCAAATAGATTTCTCAAAAATAGCCTTAATAATAAATACTATATAATAAATAGTATTTATATATACTATTGTTTGTTTAATTAGTTGATCAAACACTAACTGAAATGCTGCCAGTAAAATCATATTACAAGATCACTTAAAACAAAAAAAGAAATAAAAAAAACACTTATTTTATATCATAATACCACCAGTAAATTTTGAAATGTTATTCACAGTCAATGTTTTTGAGTTAAAACGTAATAGTGAACTTATTATTATAAAAACTAACAGGATTTATAATAAAAATATTTTAATGGTAAAAATGTTTCTAGCATCAAAATTAGATTATTGTGAAGAATATAATAATACTGGCATGAAATGTTAGAAGCCTATTGTGAGTGAAGAAATAATCTGATTCAATATTGTATTGCCTGTGAGACATATTGTAATTATATCAGTAACTGCCTATACCGCTAATAAAGAACATGATAGTTGATATGAAATGCACACCTGTTTGCAACTATACTATCATTTGCTGACCATTATTTTTTAAAAAAAAATATTCAAGGCTATCCATAATAAAAGGGTCAGTTTCGCATACAAGAAAGTATTATCCATTATATTTGAATCTGATTCGATATTGTATTGCCTATGAAGTGTATCATAATCATATCAGCAATCGCCTATGTTACCAACAAAGAATGCGACGATTAATACAAATGCATACCCGTCTGCAGCTATTCTATTATTTGCCAATCAGTATTTTTTTAAAAAAATATTCAAAATCGCATATAAGAAAGGGCTGTTCATATTAATGACAACATTAACATAAGAATTAATAACTTTTGTTCTGATATCATAAGAATTTATTTTGTCGATACTAGAGCTCTGAATAGGTTAGTTCAGATTGGATCAATCAAGTTACCTAAACTGAGAGGATCAGGTCAAGTCAAACAAAAATCCAACCTGATTTAAATTTTCATTTGACCTGACCTGATCTGACCTGACCTGACCTAATCTAACCTAATTTGATCAAATTATTTAAATTATTTAATAAACAATATATTATATTTGA